ACATTACAACATTTGCCAGCCAAATATTTAGTCAATGAAGTATGAGTAAAGTAAAAAATCTATATATATATAAACTCTAATGCTCTTGTAAATGCATGCCTTTATTTTGAATATAAAATTTTAGCGTTAAGATATGTTGCATATTCTTCTGCTCCAATATCATGAGAAAATGGAAATTATAAGGCATATAAAAGGGTAGTATAACGAAAATTAAAATATTGTCATTATATAGAGATTTATTTTGTTTTAAATCGTGAATATAATACTATTTTAAAATTTCAATATGTCTTCAGTAATATATGACAATATTTGTAATTTTTTAATTAATTCACCTCCAGAACATATTATAGCGTTTTCTGTTATTTTTCAACTCTTAAATGATGGTACGTGATATCCAAAAATGAGCTAAAAGAAATAATACATCAGACGATTGAAATGGTGAAAAAATTACATTCAAAGGATTTGGTAAAATCCCGCTTTTAGTCTAAAGTTTGTTAAGTCTCAAAGTGAAGAAACATATATGGTGATATAATAGTCAAGAAAATCTGATTATATTTTTATAACTTAACGTCAAAGTATATCTAGTAAAGATCGAAGAAGAGTTGGAAAATAATCAGATATTATGTTTATTGCTAATCGTAATAGTAGGTCATATGAATTAATTTATGTTGATATTAAAACATTATTAAAAATACAGGTATGTGAAATAATATATCACTATTATATTATACGCTCCTAAGTAGTAATAAAAAAAATAGTTTTATGGTATCTTCTCCTCTAAGGTCATTATCACCATCAAAATGAAAAAAAATAAAGTCTATAAATTAATATTTATTTTATATTATTATTGCTTAATAAACTTAAATCTGATGGTCATAATTAAAATTTTTTTTCAATGCTTAAAATTTATTTAAGTAAATCTGAAATTTAATGGTTTAATAATTATGTAGCATAACCTTACAACTATAGTATTACGCAAATATTATAGACAGTAAACATTTCGAAGTATTTCAACTGTCATCTTATGCAAACTTTATAGATCATAAGTATTTCAACCGTAGTATTATGCAAATATTATTATAGACCGTAAATATTTCGAAGTACTTTGACCGTAGTATCACGTAAACTTATAGACCGTAAATCATTCAAAGTATTTTGACCGTAATATAGCGTAAACGTCATAGATTGTAAATCTTACGAAGAACTATATCAAATACGTAAATTTTACGTAAACTTATGTGTAATTAGGGTTGGTAAAAGTCCTAATAAGTCCTAATTGATCTTAAAGAATTTAAAGGTAATTTTAATTTATATACTATTAATTAAATTTTTTAATAATAATTTAATCTTTTTAATAATTATTATATATCAATTATTTTATTAATTTAAAATAAAAATATTCTTTAAAGATAATAAATATATTTAATTTAAGACCTGGTCTTAGGATCTAAGTCCTAGGTCTAAATTTTTAAAGATATTTTAAGTTTTAAAAAGAAATTTAAACTTATTTTAATAAATAACTTTAATTAAAAAATTGAATATAATAATAATTTTTAAAAATATTTAATCTTTAAAACTAATAATTTTTTTAAAGTTAATCAGAATCAATTAGGACCAATTAGGACTTTTACCAACTCTAGCTGTAATACACCTATAAATTTACGAACTGTAAACCTTATACAATACTTCGCATTAAAAATATTCCTGATGAACTTGGCATTTCATGCCTCATCTTCAGCAGGATTGCACATTTGGATCACTAATTTAGTACTTTATGCCTCTTCTCTTCTGGATTTGATCTACATCAGACGCAACATTTATCATGAACATCCTGCCAGTTTCTTACCAGTTTCTCAATAGTTCTATGATGGTTTAATGACATTATCATAGCGCTATTGTGTTGTCAAGCTGGAACTTAAAATCACATTCCTAAAAAATTAGCCAGAGTTATACCATAGAATCAGCAAAAATTAATTGCAGATCGATCTACTACACCACCTGTCACCTTTTTTTTTACACTATTTCAGTATTTTAAAAGGCAATCAAATATGTGTAAATTCTCAATATAGAACTAGCAACCAAACAAGCACAGAGTGTCAGTATCCCTAACAAAAAACCAGGTATTCAAACAAGGATGGAAAGCCAATACCAACAATGTAAACAAATTAGAAATAAGAAGAAAGCAGTAACCATTAGATCATGACATCACCATTAAATTAAAGCATCACTATCCACCATTATACTATGAAATCACCACTATAATATACAGGAAATGATTAAAACAATAATATAAACACAAAGAAGCTACCATATGTAGGTTATGAAGTTATTATCAGATTATGAATAGTAGGTTATAAAGTTACCACTAGATTATAAAATTAGATTATGAAATCACCACTATATTATGAAGTTACTAGCAGACTATAAAGTTAGCATTATGTTATGAAATTGCCAGCAGATTATGAAGTTACCTTCATGACCTAACTCAAATCACATGTGACCTTTATAACATAATTATATTATGATAGTCACATACGACTTAAAGAATAAGTTGTAATTATTATAATCCTGATATTATAAATTTATGATTTTTAAGATTAATAGCTTTAATTTAATTTACATTCTCTTAATATGTTTCTGTTACTTGATTTATTTTACAAATTATTTTATTATTAAGAATAGTTAGAATTGATAGGATAGATCATATAAAATTTATATATCATAAAAGTAACTCAAATTAATAATATAAGAAAGAAATAGAATATAAATAAAAGAAATGTTATAAATAAAATAAGATGAATATAAATTAGAAAAAGAATTAAGAAAAAGAAAAAATTAGAAAAGTTAAGAAAGAAAAATCAATATATTAAATATTATATGAAAATAATTAAGTTATATGATTATTTATCACAAATTATAGATTATAGAATTTGAATAAATTTTTATTTGTAAAAATTAAGTTTTTTTAACCTAAAATAATAAAATAATAAATAAAGAATTTTAAAATATAAAATTATTAAAAACTTTTATTTGAAGTAAAGATAAAATATTTAAATTTATTTGATAATATTAACTAATTAGTTATAAAAGTAATAAAGTTCTTTTGCTTGTATAAATTTTAAGTTATGAAATTATAAATTAAATATATAAATAATGATAATATATAAAAAATAATAATAGAGAAAAAGTTATAAAATATTAATAATATATAAAGAATAATAATTTTGAAAGAATTTTAAAAAATTATAATAATAAATGTAAATTAATAGAAAGTTTAATATAATATTATTTATTTTTAATAAGAAAAGAAGATTTTAGTAATTATATAACTTTTTGTATATTTATATAACTATTTTTTAGATCTTTTGTTCATTTATTAATTAATTATCTTTTTTATTAACTAATTTATCTAATAGTTTCTTTAGTTTATAATTTATATATTATTTTAATTTTTTTATAATTTTTCTAAGTTTTCTATTATTAAAATTACTATATCTAATAAAGTATTTAAAATGCTAAAACTTGGTAAAACTAATATTTAAAAAAAGTCAAATTATATAATGAAACATAATGAAATTAGTAAAACTTAATAAAGTAAAAATTTTAAATTAATAAAACTTGTTTAGAATAATAAAAAATAATATCAATATCCCATTATCCTGTGATTTTTAATTCTCTTTTATCATTTTTTTATATTATGTTGATTATTATTACTAATTATACTATATTATAGATTAAGATATTTTCAATCTATAATAATAATCAATTATTAAAGATTAATTTGCAACTCATCAGATTTCATTGATTTGTAACTAATCATAAATTAGTAAAATATATGTATATTATAATTCATATGATAATAGTGATTATAATTAATCTGTGTTTATAAAAAGTAAATTAACTAAGTAAAAGTTCATTTCAAAAATTGGATTCTTATATAATGATATAATTATATAAAGTATAACTATTTAGAGGTTCAATTTTAATTAGATTTTATTTCTTCTTTATAAAGTATTTTTTTAAAAAAAATACAATTTTAATATTATTAATTAAAACTATCAATGTTGCGCATAATGTAAAATGATTGGTTAAATTTTCGTTACCATAAAGAGTATAGAGGTTCTGCAATATGCAATATAGTAATTATCAAAATTCGGAAAAAAAAAATGTTAAAAAAAATACTAACTATAAAAATATATTAAAGACACATATGGTTTCATATTACCAGATGAGAATAAAAATTACATAAGAATTCTGATTGAAATAAGGCAAAAAAATATTTTTTTACATTTATTAAAATAATGTACTTGGTCGTAAACGAATAGGAAGTGAGTAATACTTATGTAGCAACCAGTAAAATTAACTTACGAGAAAATCTTTAATCAAATATTCGCTGCGTTATTTTTGCCGGCTGAAATATTTTAATGTATTGAGGCACAGAATTTTTAACCGGAACGAAAATCCTCCGAAATTAACCCACATACCCACATTTCAAGTGATAAATTTACATTATCAAATTCGTCAACGAAGGCTTTTATTATTATTATTTTTCTTTTAGTGATATCAATAAAGTGGGATTATTTTGCATTAAAATATGATATCCTTAAGGATTTTTTTTTTTTTAATGATTCATTACGCAAGATTAAAATTTTTTGGTAACGGATTCGTCTTTTCGTAATCTGTTGTACGCGGTTGAATTTTTGTCAAGTAAACCGTTGAATGGGTCATTTCTAAACGCGAGTCAAAAAGATATCTACAGGAAACTCGTTCATTAATAAAATCTTGAACAAGTTGGAACATGTACATATAGGGAAAGATCATGGAAAATGACGAATTTTTTTTTAAAAATTATCGTGATCTGATATGATGTGATCGATCCGATTCTCCAGTTCTGCGGCATAATACTAAAAGATTTATAAAGACAGCTTCTCCAAGAATTTTCATTCTTCTCAACCAGTGTTGACAAGAAAAAATACCACTAAGCAAACTACTCGTTACCAATGAGGATCAACGAAATCTTTCAATCACTCTTATTGATCGTCGTTTTCTCTTGCTTAATTTCTCATGTGGATGCAACATGCGACCCGGCTGAAGGAACCGTGAATAATGATGGCAAAGTCACGGACTTCCATACTTCCCGCACCACCTCGAGTGCTGGTGACATTACCTTCAGACTAATTGAGTAATTTGAACTTCATATCTTCTAAACGTATTTAATATTTAGATACTGACGTGTACACCTTCATCTATAGAATGCCATGCGACACGCCATATCTTAAGATTCACGTTGTGCCTAAGAGTGAGGATCTAACAGTGTTTGACTGGCGCACGATCACGGATGCCGATCTGAATAGAGACGTAGTCATTGGCACCGACGTTTTAGCTGGTACTACATTCCGTTTGCAAACTCAGGTTCAGGATGTCAATGACTTTACTTGCTACGAACCAACTTTTCGCGGCCAAATTTGCTATCCCTGAAAGACAAAATGGCTTGATTTCTTAATATGGCGCCCAATAATTCGTATTCTAGTAATGATTGATAAAATGTATCATTAAATAATTTTATTTTTAAATAAAGGCATTATTTGGTTAGGTATATGCGTAATCCAACATCATTCAACCTTTAATTTTATTTTTTATTTTTTGTGTGTATATATGATGTAATGTATCGGGATTTTGCCCACTTTTTATATAAAGAACGGGAAAACCAATTTTTCAAATTTAAAATATCAAACGTTTTAACAACTATCTAAAGATTTCTAAAATCCATATCGCAAATAAAAAAAGAGATGGCAACGTATAGCGGCAAAGATATAATTGCGTTGATCTTTGCATTTTTATTACCACCTGGTAAATAATATTAAATAAATATATATATATATATTACTTCGTTTTGTATTATAAATTTATTTAACATTTATTTTTTTAAAAAAAAAGTTGGCGTAGCAATTATAAGAGGATGTTCTGCAGACTTAGGGATTAGTATTTTGTTGACTCTTTTAGGTAAATTTTTATCTCTTGGTAAATTTTTGTTTTATCTAAATCTGTTTAAATTTTTATTTGTCGCACCATAATAGGATACCTACCAGGGATTTTTCACGCATTCTATATTATTCATACTTACCGTAATTTTTAAAATTTAATCATTTGATGATATCAGATGTTTATATTCACAATTTATATTTTATTTTAAAAAAATATCAAGGGGATGTTATTTAAATTTACTTTTTTTCTTTCTTTAATAATTGTCACAAAATAAATTTTTGCTTTAATAATTATCTTTCAAATTTTGCTGAAATAATTGTGAGAAAAAAAATATCAGATAATAAATAAATATAGAATATGCGACGTAATCAAAATGAATTAAGTCGAAATTTACATACGATTTATTCCTTGGAGATTATAGGTCACCTTAGACTGCCTCATAATGGCGGTCTTGATAGATTAAATAAAAGGCATGAAAAACTCCTTATAAATAAAAAAAAGAAATGAATGAATTTAAGGGCATAAACGAATAAAATGCATTTACTTTAATTTACATACCTGGAAGCCAACCTTTAAATATGACGTAGTAAAATAAAATATTAGTTCACCATAATTAGTAATTAATAATAAATAGTACAATCTATTGTTAAAAAAAATACCAAAAAGTGTCAATAAGATATTCAGCCTAAACAAAATATGTAAAAAGTTCGAAAATTAATTAATGTTTTTTAGAATCTTTGTCGCATAAAAAAAAAACATACCAAAAATGCAAGTCACAACAGCCTCTTTTCATGAATACACCCAAGGGTGGAAGCAGAAATGCGGCTATTAAGGAACAAATATCCCAACAATCATATTCAACCATTTTTTTCAAAAAAAAAAAAAAAAAAAAAAATTTAAAAAAAAAATTAGTTGAAAAAAATGACAAAAAGGGGTTTGCTAAATGGGGTGTGAGCTAGGAAAATGACCTTCTGAGATTAATTTACCATTTTGAGTAAATGATAAACAAAGCTTTTTGCT